AAATCTTTTAATATCAATTATAGGGAAAGACAGTGATATAAATTACCTAGTAAATCTGAGTAAGCATGTATGCCAAGACCCAGAAATTATATTCCCAGGTATATTTCCTAGTAAATCTCTTGCATATGCAGGTCTAGAGATTTACATGTTATCTTATAATTTTCTTTTCATTATATTATATACATCCTATTGTGTATACAGTATATTTTTATATAATAACTATACTTCTTTGGTGGTGGGGGGAGAGAAAGAGATGGAGCATGAGTGGGGTAGGGGTAGAGAGAGGGAGAGACAGAATCTGAAGCAGGCTCCAGGCAGTGAGCTGTTAGCACAGAGCCCAATGCAGGGCTTGAACCCACAAATTGTGACATCATGACCTGAGCTGAGGTCAGATGCTTAACTGACTGAGCCACCTACATGCCCCACTATACTATTTTTTTTTTTAAATAAAAAACTTAATGGATAGGCTGAAGAGCCAAATAGTCATAGACGTGGAATATAACAGTGAACTGATACAAATCAAACCAAGGAATTCCATGTAAAGGCAGTCAAAATTGAAAAACGATAAATGGCAATAGATACTAAAGATGATCCAGATATTCTATTTAATGGGGGCTTAAGAAAAAAGGAAATGGTAACAAGGTAACATTTGACTGTCAAAACCTTCTTATCACCAAAAATAGATAGGAGTCCTCAGACTGAAAAATACTACCAGAAGAAAAATATGGGGGGAATATATGTAACCACACTAGAATACATCATAGTAAAAATTTAGCTCATTAAGGGAAAAGATTGGGAGAATATATTCTCTTCATGGTCTTATAGTAAGCAAAGATTTCTTTTTTTTAATTTTTAAAAAATATTTATTCATTTTTGAGGAAGAGAGAAAGAGAGCACGAGGAGGGGAGGGGCACAGAGAGAGGGAGACACAGAATATGAAGCAGTCTCCAGGCTCAAGCTATCAGTACAATGCCCAATGTGGAGCTCGAAATCATGGACCGCAAGATCAAGACCTGAAATGAAGTCGAATGCTTAAAGACTTGAGCCACCCAGGCACCCCAGCAAAGATTTCTTAAAGGGGACAAAAAAAGTACAGATAATGTGATTTTGTGGTTTTTTTTTTTTATGTTTATTTGTTTTTTTTTTTTAAATTTTTTAACGTTTTATTTATTTCCAGGAGAGAGAGAGAGAGACAGCGTGAGCAGGGGAGGGTCAGAGAGAGAGGGAGTCACAGACTCCGAAACAGGCTCCAGGCTCTGAGCTGGCAGTCAGCACAGAGCCCGACGCGGGGCTCGAACCCACGAACCACGAGATCATGACCTAAGCGAAAGTCAGGCGCTTAACCGACTAAGCCACCCAGACCACATGTTTATTTATTTTCAAAGGCAGAGAGACAGAGCATGAGCAAGAAAGGGGCAGAGAGAGACAGAGAAAGAGAGGTAGAAAGAAAATCCCAAGGAGGCTCTGTGCTGTCAGCGCAGAGCCTGATGCGGGGCTAGATTTCATGAATCATGAGATCATGACCTGCACTGAAATCAAGAGCTGGATGCTTAACCAACTGAGCCATCCATGCACCCCTGTGATTCTGTAAAGATTCAAAAATAAATTGAGGAAGAATTTCTTACATAATGTCCAGTGAATGTGAAGCACAAAGACTGATAAATTTGACTAAAATTAAAAACCTCTATTCACAAAAAGAAATCCTAAAGAGAGGTAAAAGACATTTCAAAGTGGGAGAAGATATTCATAATTTTAGAACATCAAATGTACCTAGAAACAAAATATATAAAGAATCCTTAACATATAATTAAGAAAAACAGAGACAACTCAACAGAAAGACATTTTTAAGATATCTGAACAGGTAATTCACTAAAGAATTTCAAGAGTCCAGGGGTGCCTGGGTGGCTCAGTCAGCTGAATGTCTGATTTTGGCTCAGGTCATGATCCCACAGTTCATGGGTTTGAACCTCACATCGGGCTCTGTGCTGACAGCTCAGAGCCTGGAGCCTGCTTCAGATTCTGTATCTCCCTCTCTCTCTCTCTGACCCTCCCCTGCTCACGCTGTGTGTCTCTCTCTCTCAGAAATAAGACATTAAAAAAAATTATAAATAAATAAATAAGAGTCCAATGATATGACATGTGTTAATCTCATCAGTAAAAAGGGAAATGCAAATTAAAACCACACTGGAGTATATTGTACACTCAAAACTTTGAAAAACTCCAAACGTGACAATACTGTATGTTAGGAAACGTGCAATAATGAGAGCTCTCATGTTCTGCTGGTGGGATTATAAACTAGCACAGGCATTAAAAAAAGTTGAACATTTGGCAGCTGAACATATGATATCTTATGATCCACTCACTTCTCTCCTAGTCCTAAAACACAGAAAATGTTCATAGCAGCTGTCTGTAAATGTAAACAACCTAAATGTCTATGAACAGTAGAACAGTTATATAAAATGAGGTATATTCATATAATGGAATGAATCAAGGCTAACAAAAGCAATACTATGTATGAATCTTAAAAGCAAAATGTTCAATAAAAAAAGCAAGGCATAAGAGTGCCTCACTGGCTCAGTCGGTTAAGAGACTGACTTTGGCTCAGGTCATGATCTCACAGTTAGGGAGTTCGAGCCCTGTGTCGGGTTCTGTGCTGACAGCTCAGAGCCTGGAGGCTGCTTTGGATTCTGTGTCTCCCTTTCTCTCTTCCTCTCCCCACTCATTATCTGTTTCTTTGTGTCACTCAAAAATAAACATTAAAAAAAAGCAGGACATAAAAGATTACATATAGTATGATTCCATGTCTATAAAATTCAACCTCAACTAAAACTAAACTATATATATTGTGGATGGCACTCTCAGTAATGCTATGAAAGGACACAAAGATATCTGTGCTGGTAGTGTTGTAGTTCTTGACCTGGGTAATGGTTCCATGAAAGTTCATTTTGTAACTGTTTAAATGTTCACATTATTTGTAATAATTTCCAATAAAAAGAATGACAATATATTAACTTCTGGTAGGCATATCTATCTCCTTAGGCATAAGCAGCAGACGGATACAAGAAATAGAAAACGAAGCTGACATACAAAGTAACAGAAATCAGAACTTATTATTGAACAGGCAGATAAAACAAAGATGAAACAAGCTAAATGATGCTAAAGTGTGTGCGGGGCTGGGGGGGGGAGGTTAATGGATGTGGACTCTTCATTTATAGTTTATTGCAAAAGAAATTAAAAATGGATTTAAAGGGTATAAAACAAATCACAGAAAATTAAAAAACAATATAAATCATAAAATTTGTAGAGAATAGTTAATTTTCTAAGATCAGAAATCACAATAACCACTTTTAAGGAGCTGACTACGAACACATTAAAACATATAAAGACACCAATGTAAATTAAAATTAAAAAGTAAAAGCATCTTCTGGAATTGGGTACATATTGTTTTATTACATAAAGTCCATAAAAATTGAAAAAATAAGGATAGTAATGATAAAAAGGGTAAAATTTACTGGTGAACAAGTTAAAGACAATAGCACCATTAAGATGAATATGTCCACTCTCACTAGTACTCACTATAATGACATGAAAACAATCCAGTACACCAAGAAATTATAAAATTGATTAGGGACAATAATGGCATTAAAATTGTGTAAGGGGAAAATGTCTATAATTTTAGAACTACAAATTGAGATTATGCAAAGGTAAAATGACATGAAGTCTTGGATTTATTTAAAAATACTTGATCAACCAGGATAGATAAAGCATTAGTCCCCTGGCTCCTCCCTGAACACAGCCAATGTACCTCTGCTTCAGGTCCCTGGAATGTTTGGGCTTCCTCCCTCTGTAATGTTCTTCCTTCCACTAACCAGATAAAATGATTTACTGCTGTATTTCTTCAAGTTTCTGTCAAAATGTCACCTGATTGGAAAAGTTTCTCTTACCCCATCATATAAAATAGCATCCTCTACCCCCTTTCTCTATTCTATTTTTCTTATTAGCACTGTTACATGACCTATATACTCATTTATTTTTATACCTCTCTCAGCACTAGAAGGTAAACTCCTGGAATACAGATTTTACATATTCTGTTCACTACTATAACATCAGTGTTAAGAATAGTGCTGGGCATACAATAGGTACTGAATGAATGAAGGTGCTGTCTTGATTCAACTTGTTCATACCAACTTTATCTTTGCTAGCTCTAAGTTCTCAGTGGACCTACAGAGCCTTTATTTCCAACATTCTATCTAAAGTTAATAACATGCACGCTCAAACCACCCTCTATGATATTTATATGGGTCAATTTCTCTTCTATCCCCTAGCCCTAATTTTTTCTGAGCTCCCTATTTTAACCTCTTTTATGATGGTTCTACTTTACAGAAGCTATATATAGTTGTGTTCTAGTATGCCTATTAAGCTATAAATTCTGAAATTGCTTATTCCTTTTTTAAATTTCTGCAGTACCTAGGAGAGTACCTCACACGTTCAAAAATCAGTAAATGTTTGTTGTAAGTATGAATGAATCAATGACTACATGAGCTACTTCATCTAAAAAACCCTAAAGAAAATAAGCCTTTGGCAATGTAGAAAAAAAAATATATGTCAGGAGACAGTGATGCTTTTTTAAGACTAAATACAAAAGAGGATGAGAAGGTGATGAGGAATTAGATCCAAAATATGGATAGAAAGGAATATTATTAAGAGAGGGTAGAGGAGGGCACTGGCTGGTTAGAACTGAGCAATTATAAGAGGAAATAAAAAGAAGTATAAGAGGAGAAAAGCAGGTAGAGTATGTTAATTAAGTAAGAGGAAAAGGTAAGGTAATTTGAAAGCTCATGCTGAAAAGCCTTACTTTTGTACAATAGTGTAAGGGGAGATCCCCAGACAGCACCTCAATCGCTTCTCGGCCTTTTGGCTAAGATCAAGTCCAGATAGCACCTCAAAGGTGCAGTCTCTCCACTGACCAACTGGGTCATTACCTGCCAAGCCTCACTTACCTGGCCACTGGTCTCTTGTTAGTTCTCTGTCAACCAACCAAGGCTCCTTCCCCTGCTCCAAGAAGGAGATCACATCTGGTTTAGAAACAGAATGTCCTGCTCACAAAAGAAGTAAGGAGATAAGTTTATGATGAGAATATCCCAGGATTCAAATTCAGTCCCTTCATTAAGAATCAAAGAAAGGTATATCAGGTTAATGAAACATAACAGAGGACTTGAAACATCCCCCATAACTCAATGCAGCTTCTTTTTCCTAACACTGCAATATTAAAAGCATTTCTCTAAGAACAGGATATAGAAATACCTACTTGAAAGGTAGATATTTCACACGGGAGAAAATAGACCTGAGGGCAGAATCTGATTATGGACTGATGTCCTTACCCATTGATACCAGGTGGCTGTAATTCTCCAACATCACATCTCTGTATAAATCTTTCTGATCATCATTTAGGCATTCCCACTCCTCCTGAGAGAAGTCTATGGACACATCACTGAACATCACTGACTCCTGGAACAACAACCATGTATATGACTTGATTAATAAAAAGAAATGTTTTATGTTTCTGTTTTGGTTTTCTTTCCTTTTTTGGGGGGGGTGGTGAAGGAAAGAGAGAAGAATAAAGGTAGAGGTGAAAAATAGCAAGCATATAGAGTGGGGCTGGATGTTTGGGACGCAAGTAGAGGACTGTAAACAAACAAGCAGGACTGAATCTTATGTTTCCATGTTTATTCTGTTTCCGCCAGACAAAACTGGGAAAGTGCAAAATCCAGCTAAGAGAGGCATCCCAATTAAGTGAAACAGCATAAACAAATGGCTAGCATGATCCTTGCCATTCAATACAGGGGAGCTCTTATTTTTCTCTACTTGCCATACAATAAGTCATCAACACATGTGAGCCTCTTTCCTTTTCTTCTTTTCCCAAGTAGCTAAGAGTAAAATTTCAGAATAAAGGATAAAGAGAAGACACTACAAACGCCCAGAGGAGATCAGATCATATAAATGGCATCAAGAATCAGAGAGGCAATGAGGTTCTCAAGAACACTACTAAAAACAAGAAACGGTAAGTATAATTCTTCAATATGCTGATAGAGAAAAAAAAAATTCTGACCTAGATTCCATAACTAAACTATCATTCTGTCGTGAGTGTTGAAAAATAAATTTCTAGACATAAAAGGACTCCACAATTTCTTAGGAAACTACCAGAAGATGTGCTCCACCAAAAGGAAGGGAATATACCAGAAAAGAGGAAGACGTAGTATTCAAGAAATAGGTGAATTAACACAGGAGAACAGTGAAGGAAAATTAGGAAAACAACAACAAAATGGAAGGCTTGGGAAAGCTAGACAGCAGGCCCAGAGAGTAATGGGACCAGGTTTGAGGAGGGTGAAAAAGGGAATGGGGATGGCAGTCTCCACATGCAAAATGAATTGATGCATTTGACCTGATAGAAAACATGGACAATGAAGGAAATGATAGGGAAAAAAAGCAATTAACTGCAGGAAAAATGAAAGATTGTAACAGAATGGAGCTATGAGCTGGCTTAGCAGCGAGCAATTATCTGCAATCATAATACTGTGTACACTACTGATTTGACAAAAAATTATAATTAATAACAGAATGAGAGGAAATGAAGGGTGCAATTCAAGTGTCCCTTCCACTTTGTAGTAAGTCAAAAGAGTAAAACTGATTCATTAGAAGACAGCAATTAAGCCATATTCAAGACAGTTGAGAGCAGTCACCTTTTGGGAGGGAGTGATGGGGCAAGACTGGAATAGCACTACTTTACTTGCAAAATGTGTAAAATGACTTTTAAAAATATCTGTTAAGGTATAGGTGTCAGAGTTTTGTAAGAGCCATGAGTCATATCCCAAATATGAAAGGCTCATACACCAGGAGATCTTTCCATGTACTAAGACTGATATCAAGCAAAACCATTCCACATATTTTCTTCTTGGAAACCCTTAGTTTGTGATGATCAGGGGTTTTCCCTATAAGGTGCCCCTAATTATTTATCTCCATCTCATCAAATCACTGTTCAGGCAAATTATATTAACAAATGGGAAACACATTTCTATTCTGTCAAGGTTTTTGGCAGAAGTCTAAGACAGAAGATGCTGAACAACTTAATAAATGAACTTATAAATGTTGCTTAAAAGAAGAGGGAACTGGGAAGGACACTGGGTTTTTATGAAGAAATGAGGGTCAGGTTCCTGAATGGACCATGTTAACCAGGGTAAAAGTTTTTTTTCGGAGCCTGGTCTCAGTCAGACCATTTTTACATTATGTAATTAACAATCTCTCTGTGAGAACAAATAAGGATTCTTGATGGAATCCATAAGCGATTTTTTGATGATTTATAATCTGATTACAACCTCTTCAGAGAAATTTGTTATTCAACCACTTGGCCCTTAACTGTTACAAGTAATCTGAGAGTATAAAAATCTTAACCAGACCTTGTTTCTTTTTTCCAACAATGGTTATGAACCAATTCTTTTTTTCAATAAATATCTCCACCAATTTTTGAATTGACTTATTGGAGATCTTTTGCTTTACAGCAAGGGTAAGAGAACTTTGGTACCACTTTTAACTAAACTGTCTGAAAAGGTTTTTGTTTTTTAAACACCAAAAATATCATGATGAAGAAGGCAAATGTTTACATGTACTATGGGTAAAAATGACTCTCTTTGAGCAAAAGGAAATACCATCTCACCTGAGCCATGGCTTTGGTATTTGCAGAAAAAGACCAGTCTTCGTCTGGGATCCTCTTGGAAAAGGGCAGAGCTGGGGAAGACAAAAGAAGCTTCATAAGATCCCAATTGCCCCATAGCTCCCAGATGACCATTCCCCTCTGTTTACCTCAAACAAATACAAATAAAAAAAAGGGTATCAGTGAGAAAAAATGGGCAAATCTTTCATTATCCCCTACTCCAGAGACCTCAAACTTTGAAGTAGAATAGATCAACAATCTAATATGGGCTTGGAGAATATAGTGTATATATACACATAGACACACAAAGATATACTTTTTTTACACAAATGATAGCATATTATATACACTGTTACACACATTGCTATTTTTACTTAATGTATCTTGAACTGGATCCTAACTAGTACTACAGAGTTGTAATTCCCTTAGCTACATTGTATTTCATTAAATGTATACATTTTTATTTAACAATCTGCTGCCCATAACCATTTGGGGTTGTTTCTTATCTTCCACTACAACAAATAATGCTGTAATAAATATCCTTGTTTATCAGCACCTAGGTGGCTCAGTCCCTTGATTTCGGCTCAGGTCATGATTTGATGGCTTGTGAGTGTCAGTTCCTGCTTGGGATTCTCTCTCTCCTTCTCTCTGCTCCTCCCCTGCTTGTGCACACAGGCTCACTCTGTCTCTCTCAAAATAAAATAAAGTTTAAAAAAATCCTTCCATATATACCATTTTACCTGTATATGAATTCCAAATAACTCTTAAAAATTGATCATATACATTTTAGTTTGGATATACATTTGTCAAAACAGTTTTTAACGATCTGTTCTTTATAATCCAGTCCTGTGTCCTGACCAAGAAATAACTGGCTGATGAACCAGAGCCTATAATCTTGCACAATTGGAGACAACTTTTGGGGTTAATGAATCTTAAGAAAACAAACCCAGAAAAACACAGCAATATTACAAAAACTTTAGGAAGATGTTTTAACTGGCAAAACACTAGGAAGGATTTAAAAAGTATAGAAATAATGTAGAAATGGACTAAATCTGTATCTCTAATGCTTTAGAATAGCTTTTTTTTTTTAAATTTTAAATGTTTTTTATTTATTTCTAGGAGAGAGAGAGAGAGAGAGACAGCGTGAGCAGGGGAGGGTCAGAGAGAGAGGGAGTCACAGACTGAAACAGGCTCCAGGCTCTGAGCTGGAAGTCAGCACAGAGCCCGACGCGGGGCTCGAACCCACGAACCGCGAGACCATGACCTGAGCGAAAGTCGGATGCTTAACTGACTGAGCCACCCAGGCGCCCCTAGAATAGTTTTTAACTGTAAGTGTAGTAATAAAATTTGTAATAATTGTGTATATGATATGTGCTTAAGATGTTTAAAATGGTCCAAAGAACATTATACTAAAATATTAATAGATGTTTAAGGGGAGTAACTAAATTTAAGATCAAGGCGGAAATGTTTAATAAAATATGTTCTTTTTGTTTGTTAGATATAGGAATATAATAAACTGAGCATTATAAAAGCATAAAGGCCAGTGAGCATCCCTACGTACAAAGCTCCTTATGGTTAAGCAATTTATCAATAATTGTATGTAAATGTGACCACCCAGGACAAAAAGCCTTGTTATCAATTATTTAATGGATACATCTATCCTAGCACTTACTGCATTGCACTAGAGGCATATATATATATTTTAGGAAATGAAAACCAAGGTAATCCACAAATGTCTCTTCTTAAAACCTGAAAGCATTCCTTTAATATTTTTATTATTATTACCATATATTAAGCTCTTAGTTTTTCTTTTCTTAATCGACCAGCATAATCTATTTTGTGCCAGACATTGTGCTCGATACTAAAGAATCAACAGTGGGGCGCCTGGGTGGCTCAGTCGGTTGAACGTCTGACTTTGGCTCAGGTCATGATCTCATGGTTCTGGGTTCGAGCTCTGCATCGGGCTCTGTGCTGACAGCTAGCTCAGAGCCTGGAGCCTGCTTCAGATTCTGTATCTCCCCCTCTCTCTGACCCTCCTCTGCTCACGCTCTCTCTCTCTCTCTCTCTCTCTCTCTCAGAAATAAGTAAAATATTAAAAACAATTTAAAAAAAAGAATCAACAGTAATTCAGAAAGACTTGGAAATAGCTCTTTCTCCCATACTTCTCACTTTAAGTCCCCCTTTCTGGTGTCTCCTACTGGTCTTTCCTTGGTTAAAGGGACATTCTCAAGTCCTGCACCTTTCAAGTTTGTTTGTTTGTTTTTAATTTGAGAGAGAGTGTGTGTGCGCATGAGCAGGGGAGAGGGGCAGAGAAAGAATCTTAAGTAGGGTCTACACACAGCATGAGTGGAGCCCAAAGCAGGGCTCAGTTCCACCACCCTGGAATCATGACCTGAGCGGAAATCAAGAGTTGGACCTTCAACTGACTGAGCCACCCAGGAGACCTGGGCAGGAAACATTCTTATTTCAATAGTTCCATGTTATGTCTGTTCTATTTCCAACCCGCTTTATCTTTGCTCCTAGAGTATATCATCTCCAGCTGAATTCTTGCATCTGGGGAATCTGCCTCTTTCTCTCTTTCTTTCCTAAGTTTATTTATTTTTGAGAAAGAGAGAGAGTGCGCACAAGCGGAAGAGGGGCAGAGAGGAGAGACAGAAGATGCCATAAGAGCAGAGCTCACCAACTGTGAGATCATGACCTAAGCCGAAACCAAAAGTTGAACGCTCAACTGACTGTGCCACCCAGGCGCCTCTGACCCTTTCGGTTAAACCCAATAATCTCTGTGGCCAAGACTGTAGTATGCTTCCAAAGTGACCATACCTTGGGTATGGAGCACTGCCAAAAGATACCACTATAGACAAGAGAGTCCTATGAAATCTAAATAAAATTTTTTGAGAATTTTGCACTCTTCTAAATAAGCAGCCAGTCTTTTAATGAAAGTATAATGTTTTAAATTGTTTCCAACATGATCCTGCAAATTTCCTGTATGCTAAGAATTGTATTTGTCTGTTAGTAACAGAGACCTGAAAAGTAATTAATTTTTCTGATATGAGAAGGCTAGATGCAGGTAGTGTATGCCCTGGGCCTCCATGGTGGTTTTCGACACAATATCTATCATCCAATTAAAAACTGCTAGACATGCAGACACAGAACCACAGACAATTCAGATATTGGAGTTGGCAAACAACTTGAAATAGCTATAATTAAAATGTTAAATACAATTAAAAAATAGGCAAATGGAAAAGATAAAGAATTTAAACAGTTTGGGGCACCTGGCTGGTTCAGGCACAAGAGCACACATCTCTAGATCTCAGGGTCGTGACTTTGAGCCCCACATTGGATGTAGAGATCACCAAATAAATAAATTTTAAAAAAAAGGAAGGAAGGAAGAAATTAAGAAGTCATTGCATGGTTTTACCATGAGACCAGACAAGCAGAAGATAGAATTACTGAACTCAGGGGCACATGGATGACTCAGTCAATTAAGTGTTCGACTTTAGCTTAGGTCATGTTCTCATGGTTCATAGGTCTGAGTCCCACATAGGGCTTTGTGCTAATTGCAGGGAGCCTGCTTTAGATTCTGTATCCTTCTCTCTCTGCCCCTCTCCCCTACCCCTCAAAAATAAACATTGAAAATTGTTTTAAAAGAAGAATTACTGAACTCAAAGACAAGTCAAAAAAAAATCCACATGAAGTAGAAAAAAAGAAGAGAAAGAACAGAAGTGAGTTTAAGACAAAAGGGACACAGTCAAAAGATTTACCGTATATGTAAGCTGAGTCTCTGAGAAGAAAAGAGTTTGGAGAGTAATAACTGTCTGAATTGATTAACTGATAAAAAGCCTCAACAGGGGCGCCTGGGTGGCTCAGCTGGCTGAACGTCTGACTTTGGCTCAGGTCATGATCTCACAATTTGTGAGTTTAAGCCCCATGTTTGTCTCTGTACTGATAGCTCAGAGCCTGGAGCCTGCTTTGGATTCTGTGTCTCCCTCTCTCTCTGCCCCTCCTCAACTCATGCTCTGTCTCTCAAAAATAAATAAAGGAAAAAAAAAAATCTTCAACAGAGTTTAAAGCTCAGCAAACCTGAAGAGTAATAATCAGGAAAACACACAAAACAAAAAGCAAAACCACAACCCAAGAAAAAAGTTTGGAAGTACACAGAAGAAAAAGCATGTTAGCAATACCACTGATGAAAAAGGATAACAAATGAACAAAATCAAGAATGAAAAAGTAAACATCATGATAGATGCCACAGACATTAAAAACAATAATACTAATAACTTTATGCTCTTAAATTTGAAAGCTTAGATGAAACAAATTCTTAAAAAAAAATGTCAAAATGGACAAAACAGACAAAAACCTTAAAACATCTGAAGAGGTAAACTGATTCCATAGTTTAAAATCTTTCTATCAAGACAAGTTCAGGCCCAGATAGTTTCACCAGTGAATTCTTCCAAACTTAAGGAGAAACTTTAATCTTATATGTAGTGAATAGAAAAACACAGGGGATTCTTCCTAACTCATTTTATGAGGCTAATACAAGACTGATCAAAACATTTGGGGATGAGCACTGAGTGTTATGTGGAAACTAATTTGACAATAAACTATTTGTAAAAAAAAAAAAAAAAAAAAAAAGACTGATCAAAACAAAGGCATAAAAAGAAAATTATGGGCCAATATTTCTCATGAACATACATGAAGAAGTTCTACAAAGTATTAGCAGATCTAACCCAGTGAAATTGTTACAGTTTAATACATTAAGGACAAATAAGGTTTATTTCAAGAATGAAATGTTGGTTCAAGATATGACACTTAAGATAATTTACCACATTGATGATAATAGTAAAAAAAAATATCCTCTTGATAGACACAGAAAATGCATTTGCTAAACTCAGCCCTCTTTAATGTAAAAATCTTAGCAAATGAGAATGAGAACTTCCAACTTGATAAACAGCATCTACAAGTAGGTGTTTTGTAGATGCTAGAAACAAGGACAATATACAAAAAATAATTATACTTCTATCAACAAACTGGAAAATTTTAAAAATTTAAATACCATGTACAGTTTCAATAATAAATGTCAAATACCCAGGTACAAATCTAACAAAAGATGTGCACTGAAAACTGCAACAAATCAATGAGGGAAATTAAAGACCTTAACAAATGTAGACATATGCCATATTTATTAATTGGAAGATTCAATACTGATCGGATGTCAATTCTCCCCAAATTAATATATAAATTCACAAACAAAACTCCAGCAAGAATTTTTCATTTTTGGTGAGAATTAACAAGTTGATTCTGACAAACAGCCAAGACAATCTTAAAAAAGAAAAATGGCTGGAGAATACTGTAGATTTCAAGACAGTGGCATTGACAAAAATAAATAAATAAAACAGAATTACAGTCCAGAAAGAGGGTGACGTATATATCACCTGATCTGTGATAAAAGCTTCCTGCATTTCAGATGTGCACAGATGGTGTTTTCAATAAACAGCACAAACAAAAATTAATGCAAAATGGACCACAAACTTAAATATGAATGCTAAATCCATAATATAAGAAAACAGAATATCTGCGGGAACTTGAGAATATACAAAGATTTCTTTTCAAGATATGAAAAAAGCACAATCATAAAAGACAAAGGCCTGTCCTTTGGATTCTGTGTCTCCCTTTCTCTCTGACCCTGCCCTGTGCATGCTCGCTCTCCCCCTCTCTCTGTCAAAAATAAACAAACATTAAAAGAAAAAAGACAAAGGCCTAAAAACTTGCTAGGAAAATGGGAGAAGACAGATACATAGGATAAGAAAGTACTCAAAAATGATGCCATGTTGAAAGGACACAGGAGCTAATTTGAAGTTCCTATGGCCAAATCTGGGGCAATTTGAGCAAAAATTATATAACAATAATAATGGATTAAAACTCAGAAAAAATAAGTATCCATGAATTAATAAGTCATTGAATAAACACATGAGGAATAAGGGACAGCTGTACAGATATTTTTTAAAAAATTTTAATGTTTTATTTATTTCTGAGAGAGAGAGACAGACAGACAGACAGCATGAGCAGGGGAGGGCCAGAGAGAGAGACACACACAGAAAGTGAAGCAGACTCCAGGCTCTGATCTAGCTGTCAGCACAGAGCCCAACGTGGGGCTCGAACTCACAAACCGTGAGATCATGACCTGAGCTGAAGTCGGACGCTTAACTGATTGAACCACCCAGGTGCCCCACTTTACAGAATTTAAATTAATAAATATAGAAGGAATGATGGAAAGAGGAAATCACTACTAGGCACACATCACAGTAATAGTTGTTACACAAGAACTATCGATGGGTTAAAGTATGATAAGAATGGTATCTTTTTAAGCTTATTTATTTAAATAATCTCTACCCCCAACATGGGGCTCAAACTCAGGACCCTGAGATCAAGGGTCTCATGCTCTTATGACTGAGCCAGCCAGGGACACCCACGAGACCAGTAGTTTTGGAGAGTCTCAAAGCATCTCTCCCTACAAGATACTTATTAATTAGAAAGAGAAGAATAGTTTTACAAAGAAGAAACCTGGCAGATACCACCTCAACCCAGTGATCATTGTTAACATTACCAGTAATGAGATATAGTGGTATCATTATATACACATTGAGAAGAACACAAACATTATTTTTGTGATCTTTTAGTCAAAAATGCATAGTCAAAATTTAACCATGTAGAAAAAGAAGACAAATCCAAATTGAAAGATATGTTACCAAAAAAACTGGCCAGTACTCTTCAGAAGTATAAAGGTCATGAAAGATAAAAAGGACTAAAGAACTATGTCTGATGGTCAGGGACAAATAATCAATGAAGTATTTTATATTGGGCCCTGGAACAGAAAAGAGCACTAATAGGACAATTAGCAAAATTTAAGTAAGGTCTGTAAATTATTCAAAAATCTTAAATCTGTGTAAGTTTCCTGATTTTCATCATTGTACCATGGGCACCTGAGTGAAGAATATATAGGAATTCGCTGTGCTTGGGTGGCTCACTAGGTTAAGTGTCCAACTACGGCTTAGGTCATGATCTTGTGGTTCATGGGTTCAAACCCCACATTTGGCTCCGTGCTGATTGTGTGGAGCCTACTTGGGATTCTCCCTCTCTCCCTCTCTCCCTGCCCCTTCCCCACTTGCACACTGTCTCTTAAATAATAGGTAAACTTAAGGGGGCACCTGGGTATCAGTCTGTTAAATGTTGGACTTTGGCTCAGGTCATGATCTCACGGTTTTTGGGTTTGAGGCCCGCGTTGGGCTCTGTGCTGACAGCCTGAGCCTGGTTCGGATTCTATACCTTTCGCTCTCTGCCCCTCCCCCACTTCCACTGTCTCTCTCTCTCTCTCTCAAAAATAAATAAGCATTAAAATTTTTTAAAAAAATAATAAACTTAAAAAAAGAAAATACAGGAATTCTTTACACTACATTTACAATATGAAAATAAAACGTTTTCTTTAAATGAAGAAAAAAATTTTTAAGGGCAGTAAGCAAAAAGACCTGAACAGACATTTTAAAAAAGAGGATATACAAGGGGCACCTGGGTGGCTCAGCTGGTTAAGCATCCAACTTCAGCTCAAGTCATGATGTTGTGGTTTGTGAGTTAGACCCCCTGAATCCGGCTCAGGGCTGTCAGTGCAGAGCCTGCTTTGGATATTCTGTCTCCCTCTCTGCCTCTCCCCCACTCCTGCTGCTCTCTCTCAAAAATAAACAAACTTAAAAAAAAAAAAAACTTTGGGAAAAAAACAAAAAACAAAAAAATCCCAGGATATCCAAATAGCCAATAAACCTGTGAAAAGATGCTAAACATCATTAGCCATCAGGGAAACAAATTAAAACTGCAATGAGGGGTGCCTAGGTGGTTAAGCGACCGACTTCGGCTCAGGTCTTGATCTCACACCTCATGAGTTCAAGCCCCACGTGGGGCTCTGTGCTGAGGGCACAGAGACTGGAATTCTCACTTTCTCCTCTCTCTCTGGCCTTCCCGACTTCTGCTTTCTTACTCTCAAATGAAATAAACTTAAAAAAAAACAAAACCAAAAAAAACTTGTGATGAAATTCCACTACACAACCACCAGAATAATGAAAAGACTGCCAATATCAAATAATAAAGCTGATGTGGAGCAAGTAAAACTGATACATTGCTGGACAAATTGGTACAACCACATGAGAAATTGGTAGAATCTACTAAACAAACGCCCACCGTTTGATCTAGCAATTCCACTCCTAAAAATATTTAGCCAAGAGAAGAGCATTTACATGTTCACCAACAACAGAGAATGTTCATAGCAGCAATACAATTTGTAATAGCCAAAAAATGTAAACTATCAAATGTCCATCAGCAGTGTAAGCAATTAATACATTGCAATACATCCCCATGTAATGAGAACTAAGTACAACTATAGTGGACAACATGGGATGAATCTCAGACATAATGTGGAAGAAGTCAGGCATAAAAGAGCACATGCTATACAATTCCTTTTATATATGAAGTTCAAGAACAGGTAAAATTAATGGTGATAGACAGTAGTCACAGTGATTGTGGGAGAAATAACTGGGAAGGGGCATGAGGGAACCTTCCAGAGTGGTGGCAAAGTTCTTTATGTTGATTTAGGAAATTGTGTTACAGCTGTATACTTTAGATTTGTGCACTTTATGCTCTATCTCCTAAAAGTGCTTTTTTTAAAACTGTGAGAATCATGTTTTGGTAGGGATACGGAGCAGAGATGCTTCAAACTGCTGTGCAAGCATAAATTTGCACACTGGGGTGCCTGGGTGGCTCAGTCGGTTAAGCGGCCGTCTTCGGCTCAGGTCATGATCTCCCGGTTCATGGGTTCCAGCCCTGTGTCGGGCTCCGTGCTGACAGCTAGCTCAGAGCCTGGAGCCTGTTTCAGATTCTGTGTCTCCCTCTCTCTCTGACCCTTTCCTACTCATGCTGTCTCTCTCAGAAATAAATAAAACATTAAAAAAAATTTTTTTTTAATTTGCACACCCACTTAGGTAATTGTTTTGGTACTACTGAGTAATGTGCAGGTTATCATATGACCCAGCAATTCCATTGTCAGCTAGAGAAACTCATGCACATGTATCCTCTGTAAAGGAATGCTGTGGCAGCACTCTTTATAAAGTCAGAAACTAGAAATAACGCAAAAACTCATCATTAATTGAAGGGATAAATAACAAGGATATACTTCAAAGGATGGAATGCAAAGAAAACAAATCACTACTATATTTAATATGACAATTCTCTGAAACACAGTTATACAAATAAGCACAATAAAGAACAATATGATAGCATCTGTAAAAGTTTTAAAATGAGGGAAAACTACAGTATACTATTTAGGTAGACAGCATAAGTGAAAAAAACCTCATACATTTATCCAGTCACCCAAACATCATCACACCACCACCACGGGGACAGCTAGAGGTAACACATAACCAAAGCAACAAGGCCACAAACCCTGGGCCTCAATAGTCACATAAGCACAACCACACATTTACCAAGAGGACATTCAGTCACAACCGCACTGCCATAGGCACCACACACCTGCAGATGGTCGCAGTCACAGTCACACTAACCACAGATAAAACCACATAGAATTCACAGGTACGCCCACCTGGACTCTGCAGCACACAGTCACAGGTCGCACAAACACACGCCCTAACAGGAACAAACGCTATTATTACATCTACCGAGTCATAAGCTCCCCACACCTTGACACACAATGCCGCACGTGGTCCCAATCACTCACTCCCTCTCACACACACACACAAACACACACCACCAGGTCGCATCCAATCATACCAGAACTGTCACGGGCTCCCAGACTGTGTGGCACACGGGTAATCAATGGAAGCACACACTCACCACAGGAACAGTTAATCACAACCACAGTCATTCTCTACATACTACCAGCCAGACACAATCACAAAATTTCAATCTTACCTCCTCTGCCGTACAGAGCCGAGCCTTCGGCCCCGCCCTCTCCTGGGGCTCTTCACCCCAGGCCTTCCAAGCTTCCAAAACAGTAGCACCCTCCACAGCACTGCAACAGTTGTGGGTGCAGACCTGAGGGTCCCGCCAGCGCGTGACTTTGAGGCTGAATTCACGCGAGAATTACAACGATGCCGAGGAGTCCTCTGGGAAATGTAGTCAGAAACTTAACTGTGGCGGGCAAGATGGCTCCCGATCGCTAGAATTTCTTTCAGGGATTAACTGCGGTCCAGTTTAAAGGATTGCGCCCTCTCGTGGAACCGCGCACCGGAGGCCTCACAGAGGCTTGGCTTTAGGCAGTGGCTTCCAAAAGCTACTCGGCCGTGTTTGAAAGGGGGTTCCTTCCCCGGCCCACCCTCCTATCCCCTGGAGTTGTACGGACTCAGGAAGAGGGAGACGGCTAGTTTGGTTTAGGTAAGATAATGCGCACCATTGCGCCTTCTGGGAAATGTAGTTCGGAGCAGGGAGAGCGTTGGATGGACCGTTTGAAATTCGTCTTGATTCCTCACAGCTCGCGCCCGGCCACACCCCAGAGACTTCTGGGAGTGTCATTGCGCCCAAGGGGTGCACAGGCTTCTTGGGTCGCTTTTTCCGCCTTTGTTCAGGCGGGAGCTTGGCTTGGGGTTCCTCTGTGCAGACGAGTTGTGGGACCTGAGCTTCTGAGACTTAAAGCTGGGGTGACCAAAAGGGAGGAGAATGGAAACCTGCAACGGGATTGGGGAGGTCCAAGGGGAGTAATTGCTAAATGGGAAACGGGGTTGGAGGGCCAAAAGGGAGGGATCTCCAAAGTTGCAAAAGGGTCTGGTATTATCTGTGCTATTGATTTCTGTGTGAAAGTCAGGGCCTGAGGAGAGTGATGGGTGGTGAGTCAAGCCTTTGCAGGAAGCAGGTAATAGGATTCCAGGTAGTAGAGAGAGAGAAATGGTACTTGAAATTTTTGTGTGTGGGTGTGTAATTGGTAGTTTAAATAAATATTATTGTATGTATGACTGGGATTGTATCTTGGAGAGTAATCTCTGAGCCACAATAATAAAACAGCAACAAGGATAAATTTTCCTAGAATAGCTTTTTTTCTTTTTAAGTATTTTGATGGGAGAAAGTTTGCGTAATTGAGCTGATAGGTGAGTTAAAGCTTGACTTTTGAATAAAAGTAGTAGCATTATTATGGAATTGAAATAAAATTAGCGTTGTTTTCTTAAAAGAGAAAGTATTTGAAATGACCTTTTTTTAACGTTTATTCATTTTTGAGGTACAGAGCATGAGTGGGGGAGGGGCAGAGAGAGAGACACAGTCTGAAGCAAACCCCAAGCTCTGAGCTGTCAGCACAGAGCCCGGGCGGGGAAGAACTCATGGACCTCGAAATCAGGACCTGAGCGAAGTGGACCCTTAACCGACTGAGCCACCCAGGTGCCCCTATTTGTTTGCCTCTTTAAATGAACTGCTTGCTCTACTTAAAGTACAGACCTTGGAGACCGTTCGGTCTTTTGTGTTCTTTTAATGCTATGGGGAAGGGACGTAGGTCTAAAGGAGCTGATTTGTGAAATCCTGGACTAAGAAATAAAGTGTGAAGGTAGTGTGAACCATTGCAAATAGAGAAGTGTTATTCCCATTTTCTGAAGAAAAAACTTGGCTTAGAGAGATCAAGGAATGTAAGTTTAAAGTTTCTTGGGGTGCCTGGGTGACTCAGTCGGTTAAGCGTCGGACAAACTCACCGCTAGTGAGTTCAAGCCCCCTGTCCGGCTCTGTGCTGACAGCTCAGAGCCTGGACCCTGCTTCGGATTCTCTGTCTCCCTCTCTCTCTGCCCCTCTCCCACTCATCCTCTGTGTCTCTCTCTCTCAAAAATAAATAAACCCTAAAGTTTCTCAAGGAGCCTACTCAGATAAACTATTTAGTAATTCCCTCTGTTAACTCTGTTTACCCTCAGACCAGGTGGATATTATTAGGTGTAAAAGTAGATAGTTCCTAATTGCAAAGATGCCTTCTTCAAGTATTTTACTACAGTTACTTTTAACATTATTTTGTTTTATTTTTTAAACATTTTATTTATTTGTTTTATTTATTTATATTTTTGAGAGAAAGAGAGAGCAGGGGAGGGAGAGAGAGAATCCCAAAGTGCTGTCAGCACAGAGCCCCATGTGGGCTGGATCTTACTAACCATGAGATCATGACTGAGAGGAAATCTAGAGTCAGATGCTTAATTGACTGAGACATCCAGGCAACCCTTAAACATTTCATTTTTAAGAGTTTTTTTTTAATGTCTTCTTTATTTCTGAGAGAGAGAGAGACAGCATGAGCAGGGGAGGGTCAGAGAGAGAGGGAGACACAGGATCTGAAACAGGCTCCAGGCTCTGAGCTAGCTGTCAGCACAGATTGCGACCTGAACCTATATTAAGAGTTGGACGCTTAACCAACTGAACCACCCAGGCACCCCAAGTTTTACATTTTATATTTAGACATGTGACCCATTTTTAATGTTTATTTATTAATCTTGAGAGAGAGATAGAGAATGAACAGGGGAGGGGCAAAGAGAGCTGGAGAGAGAATCCCAAGCAGGCCTCATTCCCAGGGTAGAGCCCCTTGTCAGACTCAATGGCTCCCCTAGACATATGATCCATTTTGAGTTAATTCTTCTATAAGGCTTATGATAAGATTTCTTATTTGTTTGTTTTGCATTTGATGTCCAGTTGTTCCAACACCATTTGTTGAAAAGACTATTTTTTCTATATTGAATTGCTTTTTGTACCTTTGTCATAAATCATTTGATTATATAAAGTACACTTATGGATTCTAATCTCTAATCTGTTCTATTTTTACCCCAGTACAGCACTGCCCTTTACAAATGGATTTATAGTAAGTCTTAAAACCAATTAGTGTGAGTCACACAACGTAATTCTTTTTTGCATTTGTTTTGGTTATTATGGCTTTTTTGCATTTCCATTTCCATTTTAGAATGAGCTTGTTTATTATACAAAAATACTGCTGGGATTTTGATTAAATTACATTGAATCTATGGATCAATATGAGGGTAATTCACTCATAAACTATATTGTGTCTCTCAGTATATGAACAATTATTAACTCTCTGCTTTTGTTATGTCTTTCTTCAGCTTTATAGTTTTTAGCATGCAGATTCTGCACGTTTTTTTAAATTTTGTATTCTTTTATTATTTTTTTTAATTAATTTTTAAATTTAAATCCAAGTTAGTTAACATATAGTGTAATAATGATTTCAGGAATAGAATTTAGTGATTCATTACTTATATACAACACCCAGTGTTCATCCATACAACTGCCCTCCTTAATGCCCATCGCCCATTTACCAATCCCCCAATCCACCTCCCCAACAACAACCCTCAGTTTGTTCTCTATAGTTAGCAGTCTGTTTTCTGGTTAGCCCCTCTTTTTTCTTTTATACCCTATGTTCATCTGCATTGTTTCTTAAATTCCACATATGAGTGAAATCATATGGTATTTGTCTTTCTCAGACTTATTTCACTTAGCATAATACACTCTAGCTGCATCCATGTTGTTGCAAATGGAAACATTTCATTCTTTTTTATGGCTGAGTACATACCAAGTCTTTATCCATTCATCAGTGAATAGTCATTTGGGCTCTTTCCATAATTTGGTTAATGTTGATAATGCCACTATAAAATCAGGATGCATGTATCCCTTCAAATCAGCATTTATCTTTACTTTGAGTAAATATCTAGTAGTGTAATTGCTGGATGGTAGGGTAGTTCTATTTTGTTTACTTTTTGAGGGACCTCTACACTGTTTTCCAGACTGGCTGCACCGGTCTGCATTCACACCAGCAGGACAAAAGGGTTCCTCTTTCTCTGCATCCTTGCCAACATCTGTTGTTGCCTGAGTTGTTAATTTTAGCCATTCTGACAGGTGTGAGGTGGTATCTCATTGTGGTTTTGATTTGTGTTTCTCTGATGATGAGTAATGTTGAGCATCTTTTCATACACATGATTTTAAATATATACCCAAGTGTTTGTTTGGGAGGGTTATCAGTTGTGGTTGTCATTTGTTCTTGCTGGAATACAGAAAGAAGATTGATTTTCATGTTGACCTTGTATTCAGTCTTGATAAACTCATTTATTTTAGGAGTTTTTGCTTTGAATGTTTTATTTGTTTGTTTGTTTAAATGTTTATTTATTTATTTATTTATTATTGAGAGAGAAAGAACACAAGCTGGGCAAGGGTGGGGAGAGAGGGGGAGACACAGAATCCAAAACAGGCTCCAGGCTCGGTGCTGAAGTCAGACACTAAACCAACTAAGCCACTCAGGTGGTTAGATTATGTTCTATTTAGATAATTGTGTCTATAAAGACAGCTTTATTTCTTCATTTCCATTTTGATGCTTTTTCTTCTTATTTTTTTATTTCACTGGCTAGGACTTCTAGTATGACGCTGAATAGAGTGATGAGAGTGACTTCACAGATGACATGATACTCTTTATGGAAAACCCAAAAGATTCGACCAAAAACTGCTAGAACTGATCCAGGAATTCAGCAGAGTGGCAGTATATAAAATCAATGCGCAGAAATCAGTTGCATTCCTATACACCAACAATGAAACAACAGAAAGAGAAATAAAGGAATCCGTCACATTTACAATTGTACCAAAAACGATAAAATACCCGGGAATAAACATAACCAAAGAGGTTTAAAAAGCTGACCAAGGAAATTGAAGAAGACACACCCAAAAAAGGAAAAATTGGAATATTTTTCCTGCTCCTGGATAAGAAGAACAAATATTATTAAAATGTCAGTACTACCCGAAGCAATCTACATATTCGATGCAATCCCGATCAAAATAACACCAGCATTCTTCCCAGAGCTAGAACAAACAATCCTAAAATTTGTATGGAACCAGAAAAGACCTCGAATAGCAAAAGCAATCTTGAAAAAGAAAACCAAAGCAGGAGGCATCACAATCCCAGACTTCAAGCTGTTTTACAAAGCTGTAATCAAAACAGTATGGTACTGGCACAAGATCAATGGAACAGAATAGAGAAGCCAGAAAAGGACCCACAAAGGTATGGTCAACTCATCTTTGACAAAGCAGGAAAGAATATTCAATGGAATAAAAACAGTCTTGCT